TGTAATTGCGGTGTATCGATTATTTTCTCGAAATTAATATATCTAGGTACAGGGTGTAAACTAAAACAATTAGACAACTCGCCTTCGTTGTCTATGAGGGAATAGTGAACTCAGGGTTCGCCTTCGTTGACTATTCGCTCATAGACCACTCGGACTCGTTGTCTAATTGTTAAATAGAAACACACGTGGGAGTTTGGGAGAATGAAACATAAACATTATTAATTGCACAAGTGCATAGGTTTGGCACGTAGATATCTATGGTTTGGCCGTACGACTGGCGGCAAAGCTTTGCGATTGGCTCTGGTGCTCATTAAACCAGTGTGGCATAACTTAGCAATTGGGTCTGATCCCTATCAGAATTCAGCTAATTCAGTCATGGCAAAATGATTAATTTTTAGTATTTTGTGTCTGGCCCTTTGATTAATCATTAAAATATTGAATCATGACAGCTTAGCCAAGCAGCTGGTTCTGGTCTCTTTGCTAATGGAATTAGGGCAACATAGCCAACCAATGGGTTTGATGCTTTTCTAATTCCCACTGGCCAACCTCGTTCCCAGGGCCTTTTACCTTGATTTTGGGCAGCTAAGGCTGCTAAGCGCAGGGGTCTTGTCTCTTTCGTCAGTTTGCTAGTGTGTCAAATCAGATGGTATAGCTTAGCAATTTGGTCTAGTCCCTTTTGCTGATTGAATTGTAACAGCATATAGGGTAACAGTTGGAACAAAACAGTTAGATTCAATAATAAAATTAAATAGGTTTAGGTCTACCTGACTTTTAGATTTTAACTGAATTTTATTCTGCTTTTTAAACTTTTTGATGTAAGTAATATCAGTAGTATCATAATTAATTTTAATACAAAGGTACCGGTTGTAATCATTACGTAATTCAGCTTTTGCTGCAAAGTAATTTGAATAAACCTCTATTCTATTCTATTCTACTCTATTCTATTCTATTCTATTCTATTCTATTCTATTCTATTCTATTCTATTCTATTCTATTCTATTCTATTCTATTCTATTCTATTCTTTCTATTCTATTCTATTCTATTCTATTCTATTCTATTCTATTCTATTCTATTCTATTCTATTCTATTCTATTCTATTCTATTCTATTCTATTCTATTCTATTCTATTCTATTCTATTCTATTCTATTCTATCTATTCTATTCTATTCTATTCTATTCTATTCTATTCTATTCTATTCTATTCTATTCTATTCCATTCTATTCCATTCTATTCCATTCTATTCCATTCTATTCTCTATTCCATTCTATTCCTTCTATTCCATTCTATTCCATTCTATTCCATTCTATTCCATTCTATTCCATTCTATTCCATTCTATTCCATTCTATTCCATTCTATTCCATTCTATTCCATTCTATTCCATTCTATTCCATTCTATTCCATTCTATTCCATTCTATTCCATTCTATTCCATTCTATTCCATTCTATTCCATTCTATTCCATTCTATTCCATTCTATTCCATTCTATTCCATTCTATTCCATTCTATTCCATTCTCCATTTCCATTCTATTCCATTCTATTCCATTCTATTCCATTCTATTCCATTCTATTCCATTCTATTCCATTCTATTCCATTCTATTCCATTCTATTCCATTCTATTCCATTCTATTCCATTCTATTCCATTCTATTCCATTCTATTCCATTCTATTCCATTCTATTCCATTCTATTCCATTCTATTCCATTCTATTCCATTCTATTCCATTCTATTCCATTCTATTCCATTCTATTCCATTCTATTCCATTCTATTCCATTCTATTCCATTCTATTCCATTCTATTCCATTCTATTCCATTCTATTCCATTCTATTCCATTCTATTTCCATTCTATTCCATTCTATTCCATTCTATTCCATTCTATTCCATTCTATTCCTTCTATTCCATTCTATTCCATTCTATTCTATTCCATTCTATTCCATTCTATTCCATTCTATTCCATTCTATTCCATTCTATTCCATTCTATTCCATTCTTCCATTCTATTCCATTCTATTCCATTCTATTCCATTCTATTCCATTCTATTCCATTCTATTCCATTCTATTCCATTCTATTCCATTCTATTCCATTCTATTCCATTCTATTCCATTCTATTCCATTCTATTCCATTCTATTCCATTCTATTCCATTCTATTCCATTCTATTCCATTCTATTCCATTCTATTCCATTCTATTCCATTCTATTCCATTCTATTCCATTCTATTCCATTCTATTCCATTCTATTCCATTCTATTCCATTCTATTCCATTCTATTCCATTCTATTCCATTCTATTCATTCATTCTATTCCATTCTATTCCATTCTATTCCATTCTATTCCATTCTATTCCATTCTATTCCATTCTATTCCATTCTATTCCATTCTATTCCATTCTATTCCATTCTATTCCATTCTATTCTATTCCATTCTATTCCATTCTATTCCATTCTATTCCATTCTATTCCATTCTATTCCATTCTATTCCATTCTATTCCATTCTATTCCATTCTATTCCATTCTATTCCATTCTATTCCATTCTATTCCATTCTATTCCATTCTATTCCATTCTATTCCATTCTATTCCATTCTATTCCATTCTATTCCATTCTATTCCATTCTATTCCATTCTATTCCATTCTATTCCATTCTATTCCATTCTATTCCATTCTATTCCATTCTATTCCATTCTATTCCATTCTATTCCATTCTATTCCATTCTATTCCATTCTATTCCATTCTATTCCATTCTATTCCATTCTATTCCATTCTATTCCATTCTATTCCATTCTATTCCATTCTATTCCATTCTATTCCATTCTATTCCATTCTATTCCATTCTATTCCATTCTATTCCATTCTATTCTATTCTATTCTATTCTATTCTATTCTATTCTATTCTATTCTATTCTATTCTATTCTATTCTATTCTATTCTATTCTATTCTATTCTATTCTATTCTATTCTATTCTATTCATTCTATTCTATTCTATTCTATTCTATTCCTATTCTATTCTATTCTATTCTATTCTATTCTATTCTATTCTATTCTATTCTATTCTATTCTATTCTTTCTATTCTATTCTATTCTATTCTATTTCTATTCTATTCTATTCTATTCTATTCTATTCTATTCTATTCTATCTATTCTTTCTATTCTATTCTATTCTATTCTATTCTATTCTATTCTATTCTATTCTATTCTATTCTATTCTAACTGTTACCTTTGCTAAGATGTTGGTTTCTGATTCTTTCAACCATTTTCTTATTCTGTATACTGCATGTATATCTCGGTTCCGTTTTTGAATTCATTTGTTATTTTAGTCGCCAATCAGTGCATTTATTAGGTATACGCATTATTTAATGTATATTTGGATGAGCATGTGATATATATCATATTCCTTCGATATGACGAGGAAAATAGTGGTAGAAATAATTCGTTATTTACATAATTTAATTTATATAGGTTGACGGGAGTTCTATCAGCTTATTCAGAGAAGCGAAAATCGGGTATGACTAAGATTAAGATTTATTAAAAGTACCAATTTCGCAGTTAAAGACTGAATTACATGGGTTAAAAAAATTATAATGTTATTCTACAATAAAATATAGTTACAATTGGATGATAAGAATAGCGTATCCACTGCTACAATTATTAAAAACTCTACTTCCAGCAATTACAAAACTGTTGGCAAATTTATCAGTTCTACGCTTAGGGATTAAGAGTTTATCACTATACTCCGAAGAGAGTCAGATGTACTATAATTTGGTGGAACAATGGAGTGCAATTTGTGTGTTGAATCGATACACATGCATTCGTTCAACGAATCTCTTACAAATCTTCTCTCTTCGTATAAGAAGCATTGTCACCCAAGCACCGTCCATTGCTTTATCACAGGAGCAATCTGGGTAGATTATTCGGAAGACTCGACGTTGGATCTTTTCAATTTAGTCGTTTAGGTATTGAGGCAAACTATAATGCCATACTTCGCACGAGTACTCCAACTCCAATATCGGTCTGACGCACGATGACTTGCACTAACTTTTTCGATGCAATTTTAGATCGTTTTAATAATCGTAGATTATACAAACGTTTCGCAGGCTTTTTGTAGACGCAGTCGACATGAGGAGCCCACTCGAGATTGTTAGAAATGATTAAATCGAGTAATTCAATCTCCGATACAATGGAGATATTGCAACCATCAATGGTAAGCGGAGTGAGGGTTGCGGGATCTTTTGTCGAAAGGCATATATGCAAACTTTCTTAGTTTTAGTGCAAAGAAGCTCAAAGGGCCAAGTTGGCAATCCAATTGATAAGGACAGGACGAATGTCCATATTTCGTAGCTTTTGTAAAAGAATGTTGAAATCAATACGAACGAATGCTTTTCAAAAGTTTAATGTACAAAATAATTCGAAGGCAAGTGCCAGGTGTATCCATGGCTTTGTAGCACTTCTGAAGCATATATACTAACGCCATCGTGGAATTGGTTCTTTTGAGCGCACCAAATTGAAGCTCATCAATTAGGCTAGTAACTGACCGTAAAAGCCAGTTATAAGAAAATGACTCCAAGACTTTACCTACAGTGGATGTAAGTGGGATCAGTCTAAAATCGGATTCGATGTCGGGCTGACTAGGGCGGTATAGCCTATAGTCATTGGGTTTGGTCTCTTGCTAATTGAATCATGGCAGCACAGCTTTATGGCAAAGGTCTATACTTTATGTAGCTTCTGTAAAATCAGCAGTAATGCACCTTTACAAATCTATGGAAATTTATTACTGAACTAATAATCCTAAATAATTATCAATCGTCATCAACAATGTGCCAGCGTGTCAAACATAAAATCCTCGATAAATATTTATGTGCAATATAAATTAGACCAAACGCCCACATTAAAGAAAGCTTGTTTTGAGTTAAAATTAATCATAAGATTTGTTTCAAATTTTATTCACGGAATGTACGGCTTCAATGAACATGCAAATTATTTAACTCCAAGAACATATTAGTTTAGCGACAGCGAAGATTACGTGGTCGATTTCCGTGACTCTTAACAACCTTCTCGTCGAATATTAAACCCCATGCATCCATGATCATGCTGTGTTACTTTTGAGCAAAGCTTTCCAAGATATCATATTTAGAAACAAGGTATGTATGTAAATTTTCGAGTGCGGGTATTTTTTCCCACGCAATATGTGAATTCTAAGTCACGCGAACGTTATGGGTATGCAATGTTTGGTAGCTTTATTTCTTATCAAACTGGCAATGTGTTCAATCTCTGCCTAACAATGTGCCTCACAATCGCTCACTAAATAAATGTACTGCAGTAAAGGCGCTCGAGAGTGATTACCTGTTGTTTAGACTACATATTAATTAAACTTTAAGAAATAAGTCAACTCAATTCGAGTGTACGCAAATTAAAAAGAAAAGCGAATGCAAAAATTTACCAAAGCGATAGAAATGGTTGATACAGGTAATGATGCATGGTTTAAAAATCAATGTTTTACAATTTTCTCCCTGACTAAAAATTTAAATGAGCTAAAAAGCTAAAAGCTCTCGTCTTATGCAAATATTAATATGCTGTTATAGTTAGGAATTACGCAGTGGGGAATCGGCGTCATTCTTAGGGGTTTTTCCCTGCAAATTCTTGTATTATCACACTTTTATGTTTTAATTTGATCTTCATTAATTTTTTAGGATCACTAGATCATTTAAACTCCAAAACGGGTTCCAGGCCTGCATCGGAAAGCGTGATGATCTCGGAAAAGACTGGAAATCTATCTATTCTTATTTGTCTGCTGACTGTTGTAATTATCGTGTTTGGCACTCCTCTAAATCAAGGTAAATAAAGAGGAATTTATAGGCCATATAAAACTTTTCCCGAAAGTTTAAAAGTCCGTAAGAGTATATTTTATTGAATTTAAAGTGCCTATATCACTCGTGGAATCTTTATGCATTTGAGAAGAATGTAAAAAGTTAGTTAATATATTAAAAAAGTTTTTTCATTTAGTGCAATAATTTTCAAGATACTAGCCTTTAAACTACCTGCAGTTCCTGAGTCCCAGGCTCCTGTAAACAATGAGCAGTTTCAAATTAAATAGCCGTGTTTAAACCCAGGAGGTTGGGACTCAGGAACCGCAGGTAGTTTAGAGGCTTGTATCTTCGAAATTATTGCACTAAACTAACTAACTTTTTACGTTCTTCTCAAATAAAGATCCCACGAGTGATATAAGCACTTTAAACATAACACAGCCAAGTGGTAACGATAAGCAATCATTGCCAGAAATCGTGGACATTTTGCTCCCGCGTAATACGGTCAGCGCGGTATCCACTGTAATTATTCAAACGCATGTAAAATGGCTGCTCGAAATATTAAAAAGAGAGTTCCATATAAAGTTTTGGCTAATATAAGCACATTGGACCACGAATTTTATAAAAGAAAGCCGAAAAAAAAGTATTAAGTATTCTTCAAAAACCCTTGGCATTTTTGAAGCTGGACGATTGGTAACCTGCCGTAGGTCCCCTGAGGTAAGCTATACAGGTTATTGTCAGGTTATTGAATCCTCACTAGAAATTGTCCATAATTTACGACGTTTTGGAAGTTACTTTAACTGTATATTGTCGTAAGTTTTAAAAACAATTTGAAAGCATCGAAATATGGATTTCGAAACGAGTTAGAGCTAGCCCTCTCCATCAATGGTTTCTGGACAAATCAACAAGAATTTGGCATGGTTTGCGCTATATTGTATGGAAAAGTATGGCTATTACTACATTATATATAGGCCAAATAAATGCTGCTGTGGAAGTAAGTAGACAGATTTATTTTACAAATTTTGGGTCAGAAACAAAGTAATATCCATACTAAATAGGTATCGAGTTTGAGCTAAGGTTTTACTTCTTCGTAATTTTTGTAATTCAAATTTTTTTGCAATCCTAATACATTTTAATAGACTTTTCTGCCGCCATTAATTACGTCATTCTTAATCATGGCAGCCATTTTGACCCATATTTCTGGCAATGCGCATCATTGTAATTTTAAGAACACTGAAGTAGACTGGAACGATAACTCAGCCGTCCTCTTTAAAGGCAAATTGAAGGCCATTATGCATGCAACGTCTGAAAGCGAAAATACACCGCCTTATTAAACATCCATAAAATAAACATCTAAAATTTAAGTGCATGTCTAAAATTTAAGTGCAAGTTCCAGGATCCTAGAAGAATGTTTGCCTTACTTTTTTGGGGAGCTTAACTTCTTCTTCGGCAATTGCAACATGCTGCATGGATAGTATAAATTTCAAGTAACTTCTAGGTTCTTGTTGCTGTAGTAATTTTATGTGAATTCTAGGCAATTAAACAAGGATAGTCAAGCACTGAAACTGATTTGAAACTCCGTTGCCTTTGTTTAGGTCTGCTGGAGTACGCTATGATGAGAACCATTTCGAATACCACCGGTAATTTATCCGTATTTTTTTGACAAAGATATTAACAGGAGAAACAACCATCGCACTCCAATTATGTCACACCACGAAAGATTAAGACGTACAACATTTGGAAGTATTCGTGCTTACGTATGTCAATTTGCCTTTGTTTAGGTTCACTTAAGTCCCTGGCGGAGAGAAGCATTACGAATACCACAGGTAATTTATATACCAGGCCTTAGTTGTTTTTATACTTCGAAATAACCTTTGAACAATCAACTATTTTTCTACAAAACCATGACGTAAAACATACTAAACTCAATACGTATATTAATTGAAATATTTCCACTAACAGCTAACGGTATGTTGTTTTTACCACTTAAGGAAACGAGAAGCGAGTGAGGGGATTATCCATGCTGGATTTCGTTGGTATTGCCATCACAGGAGTCTTCCGTTCCACCATAATCGCACTTTTTTGTTGTACTACAAATCAAATAATTCTGGTTGAGAAGATGTAATAACCTCGCAACCAAGAGAATGGCGATTTGAAAGCACTTTTTCCTGAAATGCGAAAGTATACATGTTTTCTCACTTTTGATGCTACAAATTCAATTCACAAATCTCCGCGGAAGCATATACCGCATTACCACTTGCTTGTCGAATGTCTCCTAGGTATTGCCCGCAATTAGATTTTCCGAAACAATTTTCGTCTAGCTTCTCTGTGCAAGCAGGGGCGGCGGAAAATACTTTGCATTTAGAGATGCGGAATAGCATATACAAAGTAAAAACATTGCTAGTGTGGTTCTTACTTTGTAAAAATATTTTCAATAAATGTTAGTCTGGGCTGGGAAGGATTAGGGATAGAGGTAGGGGTAAGTTCCCACTTCTGGGGGTTACCCGAACACCTCCCTCTATTCCGCCGTCTATTCTAGTGTTAGGTATACAGTACTCTACAGAGATAACCTAACAAATCGGATTCATGTTTACAAAATCATATAATTGGAAATCATTTACTCAGAGTAGAATATTCGATTTTGAATAAACAACTTACCATATGATGGCATAATAATTCTCTCTGAGTAAAATTATGTACATAAATCCACCACTAAAAGTTTATCACCATATTTGTTGAGAAAACTTAATCAAGGGCATGCATTGGTTATTTTCTCCTGAACACCACGGTTTGCTTTGCTATATAAATTATATGAAGGACGTGCCTGAACAGACAATTTTTGTTCTTTGTGGTATGGTCTAATCTTTTTAGACATCAAGCAGTGCTGTAAGTTTTTTAAGAGAACTTAAATCGCGGTGAAATCACAGATGAGTGTTATGTGGCTTGTTCCGCAAACCCAAGTGCATGGCGCACAGTGTTATGTATATAATTTTATACACCTTTATATGTGTGTGTCGAACGCTGAAATGAAAATTAAAGTAATCCAAGTATTCTCACGCTTGTATACTTCAATTTGACAATAAATGATTACTCTGCCATGTAATTATGCACCTAAACCTTGTATACAACATTTCAAAGCAAATTAATCATAGTTGCTGGGTTGCATGTTATGATCTCAACATAACAGTCACGAAATCGGTGAGTATAGGTGTTGTTATTGTAATATATTGTGTGGTAACTTTACATTACACTTTAGTTAACGTTACATATTATACGGCAAAACGGGAAAACAAATTGTAAAACGCAGTAGGTGGTATTTAATACCACTAGTAAATGATTCTCGTAAATGCGCGTAATATAAATTCGATGTTAACTGTATGATTTCGAATTCGAGTTGGAAAGCCAGTAGACAGCAATCAGTATGCTACACGGGTTTTACTCATTTATGAAGACTGAGACATTCAGCTGAGACAACATTTTTAAAATCAATTTACCACGACATTCACAATGGCGTATACGTATGCCAAAATTCTAGTTTCAGAATACATGTAATTGCTCGCTTCTGTATTGCATTAAATTAAACGTCGTCTGGTACTGTCTACACATGGAATAGTGCTGATTTGTCAGAGGCTGATGTTCTCATTTCAGTCGTTTGTAACACGCATATTTTATCGACGTCCGGGAACACTTCCGCTTTTTAAAATGTTGTAAATTACGTATATTCCCTTAGCTAATATGTTCTGCCTTATGCAGCTACCACTGATATTATTCGTAAGTTTTGCCGCTTATGTGTTTAATACTTCGTATCATGCAATATTATACTTCCTATCATCCAATATTGACCTAACAAAATGGTTAATCTACGGCAAGCTTAATTCGCTTTAAATTGAAAAGTTATGAAAATACCCGAAACTTGTTGTAGTAGTGTTTGCAAAATCGCTACAACAAAATCATAACGAATTACGGTCATTCAAAACCAAATTGAGAAAGTTTAAACGTTCTTTCAATTGGTTTCACTATTAATTCCTCGAATAGCGAAAAATTATCCTAACTATGAGTTAAGCTTATCTACGATATGTTAATTTTTTATTGTTCTATTCAAAGCTATTAATAGATGAAGTATATAAGACCTAAATCCGCATTCTAGAAGTTTACAAACCCTCAAACTCCCTGTATGTCAGGACGTACAAACCGAGGATAAGTACTGGATCACGTACTCCTCAGTGGCGGATTTAGGATAAGTCAGAATGCATTACAGCGTCTAATTTCCAATTCAAACTGACCTCAATAACAACGCTCTTGGCTATTAATTTCCATAGAATATTTATCTATAAAAATCTATCAATACGATTGCAAGTTTGAGCTGTAGTAATTTGTTCTGACTTACCACGTCGTCCAGCTTTCAAAGTGACGAGAAAAAAGTGTCCTTTTTGCCTGGCTAACATTACATGTGTGTTTTTCTCAAAGATATCAGCTTATCTGAGTATTGCACGAATAATGTAAGATAAAAAAGCGCTAGTTCCTAGATCTATCTCTCTTCTTGTGAGCGTCCAAATAAATTACAATGAACAACGAGTGGGATGGGATTAGAGTATTGGCTGTGCACTATGTCTTTTTATGGCATGCAATTATTACGGCTAGTAGGCTTGGCAGCAAGGTATTGTTCTTTTCATAGTTGGTAAATGATATTAAGGATCAGTCAGTATAGGAACACCGCGCCAACATGTGTGCTTGTCTCCACAAAGCTTTCGGTCGTGGACTTTATCAGTGCAACACACCTTTAATGGTTGAAGGAACGAATTAATTAATCAGCAATTAATTAATTAATTATATAATTGTGTGATATAGTAATAAAGGCTGGCGTCAACTGACCGAAAAAGTTTTTGTTTATTAGGTTAGGTATGTACGTAAAGCTATTACCAAAGATCTCTTACTCTTCACATTCTTGCCTAAAATGTTTGAACAGTTTGGAATTTTCCTTGGTCTTGGTGCCATAATAGAACGCTTCATTCTCTTTCTTAGACTGGATTTCTATACGCTGAGAAGTTAGATAATTGTAATTCCAATACATTTCCAAGACAAGAAAAACACACTTTAAAAATCATTCGAACTACGTAGTCTGATTGGACGAACTATAGCTTGGCTGAATAGAATGGATCTGAGCATAAACGTCCGCGAAAACTTGTTGCTATTACAGTGCTTCTTTCTGGCATTGTCAGTTTGTAATGCTGGTGAGTAATCAAGTACTGAAAATCAAATGCCCTTTATCTATGCCGTAGAATATTTATACCGTAGACTCTAAAAGCTTTGATTTTCAAGCGACATTTACATTAAAATTCAAATTATCTTTGTTTTAAAAGCCCTATCATTATAGTCAACTATCCCGTGGATGAACAAGCTTATTATACAAAAATGCATCATTTTCTAGCTAAAAGGAAACTTAATTACCGAACGAATTGAAGTTAATAAGTTCACGGCAACCAGGTATATAATTCATCGCAATTATCGCTACTCAGATTAATTATAATGAAAGTAATCACCCCAGAAGTAGACACAGGACCGGAGTGTCGAAACATTCGGTCGTGAATGTAATCTTTGTGTGTTGATTACTTTAATTAATTAAACCAGAGTTGCGCGATAGTTGCGATAGAAACTTACCTGTTTATGACATTTCAAAACTTGTAGATTTTCACTCTCCACTCGTTCAAATTTTGCGCTTGCGCATAACTTACCATTAAATCTCCATGTCATGGAATTTTGATCGACTTTGGAATCCGCTTTTTTCTATCACAATACCCAGGTGTAATTCCTAATATACCCGGAATTAGTACCCTCGCACGGCGCTCCCTCTGGCTATAAGGGATAAAAAATTAAGCTCATTTTCTATTCTTGCCTCATGTTGAATTAGAAAATTGTGATGGAACTGTAGTAAGTGAGAAGTTCACGGGAGCACAGCCCAAATATATCCAGGTTATGCCCGGAAATCAAGCAATCCTCAACTGGACTTGGTGCGTCGCGGAGAACAGCTCGATCACAGGCATCATCGTTTACAGGGTGATTCACGTTGACTCACAAATCACGAACCATGCTTTACTCTCAATGGGCCAATCAAAGAAAGTTTATCAGTATGTCAAAGACAATTCACGCCACGAACTCTGGAGTGCTGAGAATTTGATAGATTTTCAAGAGAAAGCAGTTTTTGTTATCAACAACGTGAGCAAAGCAGATGGTGGTGAATACAGTTTACATGTTCGAAGACTGGGATACTCCGATCTCCATAATGAAATCACCCTAGTTGTCACCAGTGGTGGTGGGTATACTTCAATTTATTAGCATAGATCTAATTGTAATTATGCTATGTTTTTAATGTGAAAATTTCACCTCTGAAACAAATAAAGGGGCTCTAAATTTGATAATTTTGGAAATGAAGTAATATTGATATAATATTTTGGGACTTATTTGGTCCAGGCTTATGCCAAAACAAGAGATTCGGCCAGACCAAGAAAATTCTCTTCATGGCACTACAAATCAGGCGCAGTCTAGCTTAAACGAACGTCAGTGGATTTAAAGTACTATAATGCACTATAGTGCATTAGTATAGTACTATAATGTACTTATTCTTGCTCTAAAAGCTTGGCTCATGTTCAACTAGTTTACTGGGGAACCAGGCTCCTACAACATTCTAATCGGATCATCCCGTAATGCATACCTCGAAATAATAACAATTTACTTAAATCCTATTTTAATGTACCGGGGTTTTTTTTAAGTTGATATGACCGGGGGTGTGCTGATAGGGCGCACCCCTCAGAAATTCTGTCGAAATTATCTTTTTAGTTATATTTTTAGGACGTTTTATCACTATTTAACCTAAAAATAAAAAAAAGTTGAATTCACATCCAAGATGCTGCATTTTGGCCCCATTCGATACGACCACCAATCGAAAAATGGCAAAAATCGATAAATATTCTATGATCTTGGTTCTTTTCTATGAAGAGACAAAAACATTTTGGATGTGTTATTTTTTGTTTTTTTAGATTCAAAAGACATAGTTTAATTTTATGGCATACCTCTGATGTCCATAAATACAACTTCTCAGCCTCGACACCTTGTTTGACAAATGTCGTCAAACGCCCGGAAAACTTTAAACTTTCAAAAAAAAATTTTTCACAGTTGTGATGGTAGAGGAAGCGAATGGAATCACTTGTTTAGGAATGACGAACAAATATTTATACCCTCGATATGTAAATGGGGTTAACTTAACACGAGTTATTTAGTTATACTGGATTTGCCACCCGCAGTCAGACAAGATCGAAAATTGATGCACTCAGCTCAATTTCTCGACTCCCAGACTATCGTGATATGAAATTCTTTTCTTTTATAATCCTCTCATTCCTCTGTTATTTATGTCTATATCCATTGACGAAGAATTGTGATCAATCTTGTTTGAAATTTACAGGTATCACGAAAGTCCTTATGGCTCCATCAAGGAAGCAAATAACAAAGTGGATGTCCAGGAATAATTCAACGGATTTTCAGCCTAGTCAACGAAGGCCTAAAACAGGAAATGGACATTTGAATGCTTATGTTTTTTCGAGTGTTGTTGCGTTTTGTTTTTTAATAATGCTAGTGGTCGTTCCTATCGTGTATTGCAAATGGAAGAGGCGTGGACATCAAGCAATTTGTCTTCGATCCAGGAAAAGGTGTTTAAAAAGTACTTCCAAGTCTTCTGGTCAAGACTATTATACATTAGTCTGACCAAATCCAGTGCAGTGTTTGTCATGGTCTGCATGGTACTAACAACCTAATTGCCAATAATTCCATAGATTCTCATGCGTAGATGCGTATAGTTATTTTTTGTGTCTTGTTGTGATTTGATTTGTATTTTTTGTTTGAATTGTTTTTTTAATTTGCTGAATTCCTAAGAAGAGTTCAGTACTACTTTAATATTTGATTCGAAATTACAATGTAAGTATTTCGTACTGGCAGTACGGCCAGTACATCAACTGGCATTACGGCCAGCAGAACGAACAGTTCAACACTCCGGACCCCGTTCCATACATACAGTATATAGCCAGGTCTCTTCCAAAAAAAATAAGTACGCAGGAACAAAATACTAGCTAAAATTACACAAATTCAGAACAAAGCAACAAAATGAAGTATATTATTTTGTGAAAAGTTCGTTTAAATCGTAGACTTAATCGTAAACGTTATGGCCAAGGAAAAAGGAATGCTGTGCATATATTTTCTTCTACTGTCATATTTCATTGCCGTGTTTGCAAGATAGGCTAGGCAGGTCAATTACATAGGTGCACATTTAAATGTATATAATTTATATGGATTATAGTATATAATGATTGTTTTCATATAAATTTAATAACGATATTTTGTTTTAAAACTTACGATTCATGGAATGCGTGTGCCTTCCAAGATCATGGAAGTAGCAGGTCTAATATTGATTAAGTTTCAAATGTATGATTGTCAGGCAATTCTCCATCTGGTCAGTTGATAAACAACCTTGCGCGCAGCAGCTGATTGATAAAGAATAAAAAATGAATCACTATAAAGCGTAAGTATTTCATAGTAAGTATTTCACCCAGCGAAAAAAATCCTTTTCACACACTGGGTCTGCGCCATGAATGCATATGGTACCAGGCATTATAATACGCGTGTTTTTGACACACTTTGTGTCCTTGTAAAAGACGAATGTGTCCTTGTAAATGGAAAAGTGTGTAGTTAAAAATCATGCCTCATGGACAAAAATGTCTAATATAATTTTAATTTGACTATTTAAAATGATTATTGTTTCTATTATAAAATTGACATTATTGAATATATTATATATTAAAAAAGGCTAGAGACTGACGGACCGTGCTTTGCATGGCTATGCTCTTTTTTATATGCTTGCGTTGTAATTTCACGTTGTAATTTCTAAGACTAAGTGATTATTGAACCTAAAGACAATGTGTGTCCTTGTAAAAATTCCGTATTATAATGCCTGTATGGTACATACATACTCGACTGTATAATGCTATAAATTGGGCTTGCAAAAGATTTTCTTATGCACAGAAACTATCTACTAGAATATTTGTGTTATTCAATTGTCATCATGTTTCTACTGTCTTTATAGCTACATGAATGTACATGCAAATTAAGACATCGTTTGTGGTCGTCACGGAGTGATAAACATTTAGGTCGACGCATTGATGATCGGAGGAGAAACAACTGGTAAGATAATTCAGAGATAGATATAGATATTGCAACGAACGATCACAAGAAAACGATGAAACCAGCTTTTAAGAATACCCTATGATTTAGGCTAAAATTTATTAGTCGTGGAATGTATGGGTTGAGTGGATATATGCAAATGCTAGCTGCTATTGTAAAAGCAAAATGCACTGTCACCATTTTCTCGATTTCTGCTAAACAATATCCTCACATTATACTAAACAAACTGGGTCGGTTGATTTCTTTCACGATCTAAAAATGTGATTATGGCTATTATATGAAACGAAATCAGTGGTAAAAACGACAATCTCGCTGGGTATGTATAAATAACATGAATAACATTAAATAACCAGACAAGTATAGACATGTTGTTGCATGTCAATAACAAATTATATATTTCATATTTCGATATTTCATTTCAACTTTAGTTTTGAAGTGAAAAAAAAAATTGGTTTTACAATGAGAATCGTGATATTAGTTTGATCATCTGTATAATAAGAAATTTGCAAGAATTTTAAATAATAATTATGATTTATAATAGAGATATCGTTTCAATGTTTACATTTTTGCATTCGTCAAGCGGTAAAAAAATGCGAGCACTTCATGTGTATATAATTTATATATATTTGGAGGAATCATCATAAATTAAAGTATTGCTTACCAAAAATCATTCACTACAGTGCTATCATTCCCATTTGGATGAAACTGACTGTAGTGGATGATTTTTGGTGATCAATTTATATACTTTTATATCTGCTGTATCTATATGGGGTCTATTATATGGCATAGAACTGAAGCTTTTCTTTAAGCACGGCATGCACGGAAAGCTTTTCTGGAATCCTTGCCTTGACGTGATTTCGGTATTGTTGGTCCATGCGAAAAATATTAGAAGCAAGTATTACAAAGGTTTTTTAACAGGTATATAGATCCAACAGATGTTGTGAAATCACTCACAACCTCCTATATACATTCGGTACAAAAATAGTCATAAAAGTGTAAACATTGCTCGCCCTTGTGCTGCAAGATAAGATGTCATTATAAGCAGGCAGTACTAATTAGGCTCTTGCAGCCTAACTAGCTACATGTTTGATATTAAAGCTTCAAGTTCAAAGCATCAAAACAGTAGAGTTTATTGAGCAATTACAGTTGACTCTAAATAAAATTTCGCATCGACGTTTGCTCCATCGAAATTTCAAAAATCACTTTCTGAAATTTGGTGTTATAGCTTTTGCAGTTTGTTATGTCTGTGCAAATTGACCTAGCTAGCAAGCTCAAGTAAACTGGAAGCAAATGCGAAATAAACAAAGTAAACAAATGCCTTCTTAAAGCACTCAATTATAAGCTTACGATTATGAATTATTTCTCTTTGATAGAGATTAGATCTCTTTAGACTTTACGATTATTATGAATTATTTCTCTTTCACCATGCTCTTATTTTTGAACTGCATATATCCATTTAATAGGGAAGAATGATGCTAGTTATCAAACTTGTAAGCCTACTGACAATGATTATTCAAATTCTTGGAATTCCAAATCAAGGTAAATTATGCAAATAAGGACGACAATTGCGTGCTGCCCGTTCCGCCAGTTTGCGCGAACGAAGTTGATAAATTTCGTTGGGTTGTGATATTCATGCATTTATTTATATAAAAAATATTGCATTTATTTAGGAACAATACTTATTAATTTATGTAGTCTTTTCGCCGTTGCAACTTTTAATGCCCCAAAGGCTTAGTGGTTCAGTGCCCAAGTTGTATCACATGACATGACGATATTAATTTTTCAAAATCGTTTTAGTTAAACTGTTTTAGTTCGCTATACAAGGTTTATTTTTTGTAAAAGATTTTCGATTATTGCGTTGTTCTTTTCTCGCAGTGATTAGTTTTAAGAAATATGCCTAAACGCGGTTTGCTTAATTAAGAGTGGAAACCCGATATTCTTTGCAGTTACTAACGAAAGCAAGCAGTAAAAGTCATTGAAGAGCGATAGCAACAAAATTTTTATTCTTGAATTCGAAAGAGCATTTAAATTATCACCAAAATCTTGGAATATAATATTCATATTGTTGCTCCTATTATGAAAAAGTCCTTGTAATATTTTCGCTAAAAGCAACAGCTTGTTACAAACAGTGATCTCAAATAAGACTTGAACGCTAGCTCCGCCAGAAGTTTGAAGCCGTGATGGTGGAAATTGGAGCCTTTTTTGTAGGCATGATCCAGTTCCCCGGCGCGGAAATTATGAATGAATATTTAAAGCTCGTCTTCCAATAAGTTTACACACATGCCTAGATAACAGTAACCCAAAAAAATAGCATGTATTCTATACGAATACACTTAACGGAACAGAAAATCAAACATCTTGCCCGACGAAACCAAAAAAAACGACATTTGTTATTTGTTTGAATTTTGTTCAAATACATCGGTTTAAAATCATCGCAAATTCCGTGGAGTGCGCATTCTTTTCATGAAATATCCTCTCTTGTTTGAAAAGAGCGTAAAAAGCTGGTATAATCCCGGCAAAAAATTCCTTCCATGGCTTCACCCCTTCGTGAGCATGCGTCCTTTGATATAAGACAATTAACTAGAAGTACATGCATGCAGCAACCCCTCGCCATTTCAAACGAAACAAAATATTTCCTGAGCTAGCCAGACCTAACCTTCAATATTATGAAATGTCCTAAATGTAAAGCCGGTAGCTGATGTTTCAAATTTTTCGGAAACAAATACAGCCGTAAAGGTGAAGTAAAATCAAGTTATAGACTTTCACAGTTTAAGTGAGAGTTAATACTCCATTATATAGCTAAACCCTCAAAACATCAAAACAGCCCCAAAAATATAAATAACCAAGCAGTGAACGTCGAATGTTGTTTTTCGATTATTAAATTCATGCAGTGATTGCAGTCGACTATATATAAACTTTTAAAGTGATATTTGTTATATTAAAACTCCGAATTACACTTTTAAGGACTCTTTTGGAAGTTAAAACGATGATGTAAAGCCTTAAATAGTCGGTCTCGTCTTCGCAAAACCGAGCAAAACGACACACTGTACCAAGCTCATAAAATGTATTCGTACAGCAAACACGAAAAAAACCTCGAAAAAAACAAAATACTCCTACCATTTCAAGGATTATAAACCAGTTGTTCCTTTTCACCCGGCGCTAATTCTTCCAGTTCTGATAATATTTTAAACTTTTCCCAGTGTTTTATATGTTATTTGATTCCACATTTCATATAGTGTTTTCGAAACATTTTTTTAAAAAAATAGTTTGCAAAATGACAGTTAAATTGCTGACGTTTTTCACTGAAACGAAACACGACGTTTCGTCTTAGCCAATCAGCAAGTTGCTAATTACCAGTCGTCACTCGTTCAAATTTTGCGCATGCGCACAAGTACCATGACCATTGAACGTCCATGACATTTGGGTGACTTTGGATTCCGCTATGTTCTCCCGGGTTCCGGGTATAATTCCTAATCTCCGGGCGGAATTAGTACCCTCGCACGGTGCTGCGCACCGGCTCGGGGATAATTGTAACGTTAAATTATATTATACCGTCTTACAATGTATACAAAAAGCTATTAATGCGCACATAACTAAAGGCCGGCGCACACTAGAGCTATGTGCTTAGCAAAAAGTCATTCGTGGCCATTGGCGTAAGCCAGTTGCTCTCGTGTGCGGGCGACTTTAATTTTCCGGCTACTTTGGTCATTCGTGCCACTTACGGCAAATATCAAGCATGTTTGATAATTTTTGCCTCGCGTGCCCAAATCGTTCTGTGTGCGGCAAACTGAAAGCTATCTGCTTATGGATTGTCTTAACAGCGCATGCGTAATATGCGAAAGTAAACATCCAAGATAGCGGCCGTATTGGAAGACAAACTGGTTGATCTTTTGCCAGAATACAGGTGTTTATACGTTGTGAATTTTAAAAAGATTTTAGATTACTACAGATTTTAGAAACAGAGAGAAACGGGAATGCGCTATTGCAGAAATAGCTTGTAAGCTCTCTCAAACAGGTAATGTAATTAATAGCACTTGGATAACGGTGTTTAGTCTATATAGTCCGACACAACAGCAACAAAAATAACAACACCTCTTCGTCTTTTCTTTTATCCATAATTTTGTTTTTGCAATCTGTATGCCATCTTGGATGTTTACTTTCGTATATTACGAATGCGCTGTTAAGACAAATAAGCAGATAGCTTTCAGTTTGCCGCACACGAAAAGATTTCGGCACGCGAGGAAGAAATTATCAAACATGCTAGATATTTGCCGTAAGTGGCACGAAAGACCAAAGTCGCCGGAAAAGTCGCCCGCACACGAGAGCAACTGGCTTACGCCAATGGCCACGAATGACTTTTAGCTAAGCATATAGCTCTAGTGTGCGCCGGCTTTAACAGCCCCGACTCGCCTTCTACTATTTTAAACCACTTTTTTGGTGCCTTGTCAAGTCGATGACAGTTTTATAGAATACTCTATATTTATGATTGTTTTCTTTTTTTTTAAATGTAGACTCGCATTCCATTTCATATGCCCTCGGGTCGGATATTACAGTGTGTTTGAGAACAGTGGAATATATAGAAATTGTAGTCATCCTGCGATGAAATTGAATTTTCATCAAACATATCAAGCACGATGTAGGCACTTTACTCTACAGCATTGGAATTAATCCTGATAAACCTGGTTAAGAGAATTAATACTACTAAGTTTGGATTCAGGAATGTAACAAACAGGCGAAATACAACTCACTTTGCCTACATTTTATTGAGATGAACATGTTTGCGAATAGGCAGAAGTATACAATGGATGAAATTTGTGGATTTGGGTATTTACATGATGAGTTTAGACATTGGATAACCTTTTGGTTGGGTAAGTTACGACATGATTGCTTAAATGTAGTGACGCCGGATGGGAGGGTCTGCATGCACAGCATTGAGATATGCAATAATTCCTGGAGGAAGTGCTCTCTATCATCAAGTGAAGCCAACAACCCTGGCGGATTTTAGGCTTCACTGACACTACGTCGTTTTAACTTCTAAATGGCTATGGTTGCTACCACTGACATACCGCTACCCAAAGGCAAAAAATCCGTCTCCCTCCTGGTTTTTGATGAAAAATACGTTTAGATTTTTGTGGGATTTTCTAGTATAAGAAGTTAAATTGTGTCTTCCTTTCTCGGGTTTCCCTGTTTTACAAATTTGGCGAAGAGGTGGTTTTTTGCTCAAAATGCCATGTTGCTGTAGTGCCTGCCTGGTTACGCTAATGTTTTGCGCACATTGTGTGGTTCGCAGTAGGCGCGCAAGGAAATGCCTGAAACTGACGAACACGATTTGTAAAAGATATAAATAGAGCGTAATACTCTTTAGATTATTTTAGGCTAATCTTAGTTGTTTTTCCGCCTCGCCTTAAGTATAGCTAGAGCATAAAGTGGCTTGTAAAATTCAATAACAACATAGTCTCGCAAAACACACTCAAGAGAATACATACTTTGTACAACGGTATCGACGAATTTCTATGAAAAGAATAAAATAATATCATAAGACTTACTAGCGTCCTGAGCATTTCACATCAACCGCTCATCTCAACTCTAAATCTACTAAATACTCGCGCTAAATTGTAAGCGACTAATGGTTTTAAAGGTAATGAAAAGTCCGTTCTGCGCATATATTCTGCACAGCAACACATTCCATTAGTTTGGGAGCAACGTTTGTATTAAAAACGGACAGTTCGGGGGCACAATTACTTTATTTCATGTTGCAAGGCGAAGAGGCTCGAATCGTGAGTGACGAAGATAAGGCTGCTAGAAAAAAGCAATAAAATTATTATACTGAAAGGAATGCTTCAAGAATTTATTTGTTGAATGAGTACCCGAAATGGCGAGGCTATTTTTCGTCGCTACAGACGCTACGGCCTTCTCGCTTGTCCTACAATTACAAAGATATAAAGTTTTGCATACCGGTTTATTTACAAGCTTCACTTTATATCTTTTTCAAAATATAATAATATTTTCTACAAAATATAATATAAAATTAGCATATTCATCACAGCCGGTCGAGCGAGAACGAGAAGAAAATAAAAAAATTAAAACGACACATACGTTGTGTAAATATCATACAACAAACGTAAATAAACATTGTTATGCGCAGAATATATGCGCAGAACGGACTTTACATCATCTTTAAAAGATTTACGTTTATTCCATCTACACTTTATTATATAACACCTATATCATTAGCTCAAAGCCGGTAAATTTATTACAACCGATGTTATAAAAAGCAAACATGTTTGGCAAAAAAATATTTTCATTTTATCTTTAATTAGTTTTAAATACAAACGTTTCAATAGAATAACATGAATTATAATGTGAATTATTTTGGGGTATGTGGTATCTTTCTTTTTTTTCTTATAGCGAAAGGGTGTTTTCAGCGGAACAATACGTACTATAGTCACTTTATACTGGTTTAATCTTCTTCCCTTTGCTAGGATTTTAGACATGGGCTGATACTAAAATACGATAAGATATGTAGAACAACCAGTGGATTGGCTGTTGAGGGCTTAATATTTTCTTTTCCAAGATTTAACATGGTTCAATGATTATAATTTCTGTACCCTCTACCCACTATTGAATAAATTAGACATTAATAAAGGGTGGACTAGGTATAAGATGCTTTTTGGAAAAAACTGAGTTGGCTAGCGCTTCCATGCTTTGTTCTGAAACATTAAATTAGAGCAAACTACAATGTATCATTCACATGAGCTGTATTTCCCTACTTAGTACTTATCTACTAAATCTTGCATGATTTTTGGCCATGAATTTTTTTAAGTTATGTACAAGTATGAAGTTTTGGAAACAGAAATTAATACTTTTTGCACATAAAAATGTCAAGAAATGTATTATAATTGATAAAGTTTAGAAATGTTTAATTTTTTTCCAAAAAATTTTCAAAATTTTTTTTGTCACACAAAATAATAAGACATTGCTGACGTTTCTTCAAGAGGTATAATTTCATGCGTATTGTATTGAAAAAATTACCGATGAGGTATTCGACGTTTTTCTATCATTTTTAAAGTTATAATACTTATTTGCGCTGGTATTGGTAAAACAACGTATACGATTTGTATACATCTTGAAATAAGGGTTTTTCGTATTGTAATTAATATAATAAAATTATGTCGAACACAGGGCCGTCGCTAGATGCTTTATTTTTTTTGAGGGGGGAGTTCATAATTACATATTAATGTTTATACATGTAGCTACCATTTGTTTCTATACAAGGTGTATAAAAAAAATTCGAATCGAAATTTTGTGTTTGATTTGAATAGAGCTTGAAAAATTAGTTTTTAAGTTCTAAAACCCTTTTTGATATAATTAAATAGTTTCGAAAATACGTCGGTTGGGGGGACTGGGACTCAGGAATGATTTGCAAACACGCCGTCTTTTATAATGTAAACATGAAGAGTTTCACTGGCGATATAGTTTGCGCTTTTCAAGAAAAAAATGCGGGAACGGTGCGTTGTGTATGGCTGTAGCAACTAGGCGAGTTTTTCTCAAAATATTTTACGTTATTGGAAGTTTTTCAGCTCAAAACTCAGAAAAAATAAAAAGCACTGGTCCAGTTTGTTTACAGTTCAATGATCTCGATAGCCGATGTTTTTGATCGCCAATATCTTCGAAGATAAATAAATTTTGTAAAAAGACTTTTTTGGATTAGTGGTAAAGAAATATGAATTCTACCTTATAAAAGCCTTCTTATTTGTAAAAATGGCATAAATGAGCGAGGTCCTAAGTGAGCAACAATTTACAAAATCACAAAAATTATACATCGTTTATTGGTGCTTGGCAAATTTTGATAATAATAGAACCCTTTCGATAATTACGTGGCAACATTAAATTTAAATTTTTACATCTTTGCTTGTGAGGGGGAAACTTTAAATCTATCTCATTTAAGACATTTTTAAATTAAAGACAATAGCGTGATAACATCATCCACACGTTTAATTTTTTAATTTAATTACTTTTTTAATTTAACTACTTTGTTTATTGAATTAGGAGGTTGCGATGGAACAACAAAAAGTGAAAGAATCACAGAAACAAATTCAAAATATACGCATGTTATGCCAGGTAATCAGGCAGTTGTCCAGTGGGCATGGTGTGTTGCAGTGAACAGCACCATTACAAACATATCCATTTACAAAGTGACCCGTTTTAAGTCTCGAACTACAAATCATATGGTATTGTCAATTGACGTATTAGAGAAAGTAAATTATGCCAGAGACAACTCAAAGCATGAACTGTTCAGCGTAAAGAAAAAGGCACGTTTTCAGGCAAGGGCAATTTTTGTTATTAACAACGTGAGCGAGGCGGATGATGGTGAATATAGTATAAGGATTCGAAGGATTGGATACCGTGATCTCCATAACGAAGTAAAAATATTTGTCAATCCTCGAGGTAAGAACATTTTTATCAGGAAAAGTCTGCCCTTCCGTTGATGCCAAAAACGTAGTGATTCGCTGAAGTATGATACGCATTACGCATGAATTATAATATTTAGTACAGCATAATATAATTATTAGGCCAACCAATGGCAATGAAGTCTTGAAAGAAAGTAATAAAAATTGGCAGTCCTGCAAGCAAACTAGGCGAGGTACGAACGAAACTTAATTAGCCTGCATGGCTTCAATTTAGGCATAACTACAATATCATATCCATTTTTTACAAGCTATATACCGCTTTGGTCGGTTGAAACTGATTCGTACCAATGCAGATCGCTAATTAGATTGGTTCACAGTATTTTCCATCGGGATCACATTCGGCGCTTAATTTACTTGTTTTTCAGAACCCGCTGCGCAAAAACCAGCAACCACAATTACGAATAACCCAGGTAATTGAAATGAGACTTAATTTTTCGGATCAATTTCTTATAATTTTAACAATATCCTGCATAAACATACTCTTCGCAATTTATTTAGGGTGCGGCTTATTTTCGCTCGTATAAATGGCCCTAAAGTGCATCAACCAGCGACGATAACAATTATTGAATATTCAAAATTATAATAATCTAGACATGTAACTCCAAGAGGCCCTGTTGGAAGCTTTTAAAATTAGAAGGAGCCCCATGTTTATATATTCGTCTTATGTCTAATTAATCTTCAAGAGGGCGCCGGAAGCGCCGACGTGGGTATTAATTCCGCTCGGAGTTTAGAAATTGCACCCAGGTATTGTGAGAGAACAGAGCCGAATCTAAAGTTGTCGAAGTTCTATGTCATCTTCGGTCGACATTTGACCGTTTTGTCAGTTATGTGCATGCGCGAAAATAAAAAAATTATAATCGTATCTAATTTACTTGTTTTTCAGAACCATCTGCGCACACGTTAGCAACGATAATTACGAATACCCCAGGTAATTGAGTTTGTCTCTGTTGCATGTATAGTGCAGAGAGGAGTTCTTGTTTATGCTCACTGGAATATTAATTTTAATGATTAGAATCTTTCGGTTTTTCGCGAAAATATGCGTGAACTTTCATAGATGGAATACCAAGTGAGTCTAATGAGCCAGAATAATTTTCTTCAGCTATATGGCCATTATTATAACTGAAGAAAATTATTCTGGCACATTAAACTCACTTGGTATTCCATCTTTCAAAGTTCATCATGACCATTTGTGTAACAAGCTATTTCAATTTGTTGTGTTGGATCCAAACAATAAAATTCATAATTTGTTGCCAGAGAGGAACAAATCTATTTATAATCTAAGACATGAAAGAACCTTCGATATTCCAATGAGCCACACAAATAGGGTATCAAGCTCTTTATAAATGCTATGAGTATATAATAAGGTCAACAAAAGTTAACCTCTCTGTTCAAATTCAATTTTAAAATGAAATTATTTCATTATCTTACATTAATAATTTTAATGTTTCTTAGCAATAGTTATAGCTATAATTTTAATGATACAATTGCTTTAACTGTAAAAATTACGTAATTTAGCCTTTAGGCTGCGACCGTAAAGTACATGATGCATTTTTCTGATCATCATCCGTAAATTGCTGTTGAATTCCTCTACTTAAAAGCGAACTATACGTTTCTTCTTCATGGTTCCTTATTATATAACGGAACAAATTGTTCCTAAAATTGAGTTAAAAGTAAGGAACGAATTTTTGATGTTCATACACAAAAGCGAACTTTATGTTCTCATTGTATTAACGTTCCTTAATGCATTCGGAACTTTTTGTTACTTTGGAAGTTCTTTTATGTAAAGGAACGAATGCGTGCATGCAGTTCCTAAAGAAAATCGATCAATAAGGTGCCGTTCATCACGTCCTCAATAATTAAAACAAACAACAGCTTATAATTATCATACTCGACCTGAAGGGACTGTATACATGAGCCTGCAAAATTACACGAGATTCAATGAAGCGTGAGATGATTTTGACTTTTTTAAGACATTGAAATGAGGTAACATGTTCCAAGCAGTCATAATTATAACCACCACAGCAATAGCATGTGCTTATTTGGTGTCATAAAGACTTATTTTAATCCCTCAAAGTCCTCTCACGCTTCGTTGAATCTCGGGTAACCGGGATCATGTATGAATAGTGAACACACCCAACCCTATTGCGTATGCGACCCCGTCGAGGCCTTTTCACTTAGGGATCGAAACAACTTAGCGGAGACACAATTACCCAAAATCAAACACAATTGAGAACAGAATTATACGGATATAATATAAGTTTACAAATACTGTACATAGCGCTTAATATTTAAAATAGTGTTGGAAAAACAAAAACAAACTGCTTGTTCGTTTCACAATTTGTTAATCTATTCCAAATCCTTGCCTGTTCAGTTATAAATACACACTATGACGTCATAGTTTAATAGTTTAACATGCTCTTTTGTTTGCTTAGCTTCATGAAAATGATCAAATTTATATTGTTTCTAGCTATTAAAGGAAGAAAAAGTGAAAGTTTATCGCCACTTTACATTGGCTTGATCGTTGCAGGCGCAATCATCGTTTTTTTCGGACTCCTGATCTGCTACAAATGCAGGAGAGCACATTGTCCATTGCTAACACGGTGGTGGGAAAGATTCAGGATTTACATGGGCTGTTGTTTTTTGTTATCTTGACCAAGTTTCCCTCCCTATAATTTATATAATAGACCACAGGTTCATCCTTCATTATTTTTCCGTCTAGTTCACGCGACTAGAAATAATATACCTTTATAAAGGTTATTATTTTTTGTTAAACCAATGCCCGATTAGGAAGGAAATAAGTTTTCAAAAAAATAGATGTGTTAGTACGTATTTTAAATACATGCAAGGCATGACCCCACTACGAAGGAAAAAACGAAGGGTGTTTTTGTAATTGTAGTATAAAATATGTAGGTTTTTGAAATATATTTGTGTGTGCTGCTTTTTTTCAACCAAGCAACATTTAACAGGTAACCTGCTTGCCACGGTGGCTCGGGGCTACCTTTTTGCTCTTATCACAAATGACGTCATAGTGTATATCTATAACTGAACAGGCAAGGATTTGGAAAATATTAACAAATTGTGAAACGAACAAGCAGTTTGTTTTTGTTTTTCCAACACTATGAATAAGATTTCAGAAGTAAAGTCAAAGGATACAAATATATGCGTGAATGATTTGTAGGAAAAATAAAATGATATTGAACTGCTAGTATAAGACACGCGTTCTGAAAAGTAATGACATAAACAAGCGATGACTGATAAATTCGGTAAGTTTATATATAGACCATGGATTTCAGCGGCAAGGCTTAGAAGTTCTTTTTTATACAAAACTGGTTAATAGTTTTCAATTACATTTCATTCCATTTTACGTTTTTCGCCTAATTTTGAGAAAATGAAGCTCAAAATAATGTTTTAAAATGATACTGACGTTAGCAGTATAATTTTTCAAAGAGTTATTGCCGCGACTCTTGTTAGATATCACGTTAACATGGTGGACACGAATAGGAGCATACCGACAAACACGGTATTTCATGTTATTTTCGGAATTAAGCAGGATAAAATTTATAGCAATATCTACATGTATTTCAAGTCTATACATCAAAATGGTTTACAACAAAAAAAACTATATTCGTTATTATGTTAGGCAATGGGAAATTAAACTGTTAGTAACCTGTGACTGGTAATTTATAATACTGCTACAATCCTGCAAACACATTTGTAAAAGTTCTTCATTTTTAGCGGGGTTGGGCCAAGTCTCCAAGTTTGCTTTTGGCGGTTGCCCGAACTGCAGAGAACAAAAATTGACCTTTGTAAACATGGCCGTTATTAGTTAATTAAACTTTGCAAAGAACCTATTTAAAACATTGCAAAAATCCTAAGACAAAGGATTACGTACGATTTATCAGGTTAGGAGAAATTCAGCGTCCGCCTACTTGGCGGAATGTGTTGTAATTCGGGCAATATTTGCCTGAATTCGGGCAATTGTGTATGCCGAAGTTATTAATAAATATCTCAATTTTCCCAAAATTATTCATCCGTCTCCTCCCAAAATTCTTATGCCCGCACGCAATAACTTGAAGCTCAAATCGTAATGTTGTTTGCTATTGACGTCAGTAGCAATATCAGGCATCAATTATTGATAGGCTTCATGTTCCACTATATACTGCGTCAAAAATAATCGGAATCGTTTTTACAAAATCGTTAATGCAGTTGTTAGGGAAAAAGAGTAGACTCTTCGATTTTGAATAAAAACTGATCTAAACCACAACATAAAATGTTACACAAATAGGCAGACGTATAGTAACCAGGAATTCGAAAAGCTATTCAGTGTAATAAAAAACTGCAATCGACCAAAACAGGGGCACTGCGAACTCCAGATTTAATCTCATGTGAATGGTAGTTTTCTTAGAAACAACACTATTTTTTCCACTTAAGAGTTTGAAATAAGCACATTAATCATAAAAACTGAAAAGAGGGCATAAAAGTATTGGCAATAACTTTTTGGCACACCACAATGAGTTGTTTTGTTTAAAGTGAAAAAGGACATGCATTAACAAGTCTGTTTTCCTCTTTATACAGCCGTGCGAATGTGTTCAGACATCAAGCAGTGCTGATTGAAATTTTAATAAACACGCTCCCCTGCAGTAGTTTTTTAAAATGACAACTTAAAGCTTGTTGAAATATTCAGTATAATCTGGTCGCCAGACTGGTTAGCACTAACTTCCCAGCCAGGCTCCTACCTTGTCGTATCTAAGAAATTAAATCGCATACGAACGCAAATGCAAATAATTACACTTTACAATAAATTTTAAAAGAGCAATCGAGCATAATTTATTATTTATTATGTATAATTATCAGGCTTATCATGAATGTTAATTTTATGAACCTATTTCAAAGCCTGTTAATCTAGGTTGATAGGACTTTGCCTGTCAATATCTCAACACAACAGTCACCACATTGGTAAGTACGCATTTTTGTAGCACCGTTACGATGTACCGTTTGTAGCATCGATTTCAATTCTTTTAGGGCAACACAAACAGCAGAAAACAGTAGATGATAATGCTTTGCTGTTTTAAAATAAAAACGATAATAACGTTAAATGATTCGCGAAATATTAATTCAATGTTGAAATTTAACTTAGCCCTACTTATTTCGAATTTGAGTCGTAAAACGTCCAGCAATATGATATATGCATGTGTTTTACGTTTGTTGTTGAAATGAGACATTCTGCGAGGCGTCAATTTATCACTACACACTACATCCGGAATGGCGTATGACAAAATTCTTGTTTTAGAATAATTATGTAATTGATCGCTCCTACATGCATGCATGAATCAATCGTCTGCCTGGAACTGACTATATATATTTACAGGCAAAAAAGTTTTCAAGCTAAAGCGGATATTCTCGTTTCTAAGACACATTTTATCGACGTGCAAGATTATATTACGGTCGCTAAATTGTTTTTCTTTTTTTAAACAGCCCCTTACGTATTATCCCCTAGTGTTGCCGTTAATCGGTATGTAGTTCGCTAACTTCGCTTCGCCACTTGATTCTTGCACTTAATTATTGTAACAAACATATCCACAGCTACTCCAAACCTCATCTCGAATCACGTATATAACTAGGATGCAAAATACTGAGCTGAACAGAAATCATAATTAATTATACAGGGAAAGTTGGACTGTTCTTTCATTTTCCAAAAATTCCTCGAATTTATGAACAAAGAGCAGCAAATGAATGCTGTCCAACGAAACGTCAAGTACCTATCGTGCATTAATTTCTTTAATGTTGGCGCATTCAAAGCTATTAATAGATGCCTGCATACATTCTAGTCTTCTAGAAGGTAGTTCTAGAAGTCGGTGATGTAAAAAACGCTTTCTTTACATATTAAATTGCTAGCTATATCTCTCAAAATATCTCATCGTATCGGAATATTTATTACCATTTCAGTTCCTTATATTTCTAAATGAATAAGAGATTGAGTTTATGTTCAAAGAAATAAAAAACATGGGATATTTGAGCAATTTTTAAATCATGCATGGAGTCAATGTTATGAGCATATTCCCTTTATAACTTATTGGGTCTCAAAGGAAAAAGGGCCCGTTTTGCTCTGCTAAGATTGAAAATAGCTATTGGTATATGTTCGTCTGAAAGATACAAGCTTTAACTAAATGAATATGGTAAAAATATATGGAGTTATGCCAATTGCCGCTTGCTATATTCGCGCAAACAACGCTTCTACGTGGAAAGATAATTCTAATACTATTTTTAACTATTCAAGCAGAATTCATTCATTCAAGTTGTCTGGTTGGATGAAATATCACTTCCAGAATAGAATGGGTCCGATCAGAAATATTTTTCAAAACTTGTTGCTGTTGCAATGCTTTGTTATGGTATTATCTCGTTATAATGCCGGTGAGTCACCTAGTGATGTCAAATATATAGCTAGCTTGTCTTTATGAAAATAGCCTGAATTGTTGACAGGCATCAAAAGGTTAAATTCATTTTTAAAAAATGGGTGGGCTTACCCAAAGATATAGCGGATTTAATTTAGCATCCTACGTTTTTATCTGTTAAGCCCAATCCAGAATCATCCATGTTGGAACACACGAAAAAAAAGGGCAGTTTTCCGCATATACATATATTACATGTTGCACTTCACTCTAATTCATGGAGATATTACGTTTCGAAGTCGGTACGTCATTTCAGGATGTCTCTAAAATATGTGTACATATTCGATATAGCTATACTGAGGTATAGAGCTAATACGAGGAAAATATATAAAAACACGATGAACTTGGTTTTTATCTATAAACCAACTTTTTCGTGTTTTATCTTTGCCCTGATATGCATGGTGTTTGTATAATTTATGTTACTTTTGAATTAGAACATTGTGATGGGACGGTAGGGAGTGAAAAGATCAGAAAAGCAAAGTCCAGATATATCAACATTATTTCTGGTAGTCAAGCAGTTGTCAACTGGACATGGTGCGTCGCAGCAAACAGCAAGATTACCGGTATTGTCGTTTACAGAATAACTAATTATGCTAACTCAAAAACTACGAATCAGGTTTTATTGTCAATGGATAAATCAAAGAACGTTTATCGCTACGTCAAAGACAATTTACGTTACGAATTCCTCAGTTTTGAAAATATAACAGTCTTTCAAGAAAAAGCGGTTTTTATCATCAACAACGTGACCAGAGCGGATAGTGGTGAATACAGTTTACATGTTCGACGACTGGGATACCGCGATCTCCACAATGAAATCACTATTGTTGTCAGTAATAGCGGTGGGTTAATTTAATTTCACTTCCTCCGTTAGTTTTGTTGTAATGGGCACTACATTATGTGCATCAAAAAATATGTAAATAAACCAGAAAAAACTGCCGAACATGCTCCTGCCTTCTTGAATGTCATGTACGCAGGCACGTGACCGTATTGTAAACTAGTAATTGCTTAGTTCGTAATTGGTCAGTGAAGCGTGTATTAATTTTAAAGCTTCAATTCAAACGATACAAGAAGTGGTTCTCTTCTGTACCTAGTTTATACTACTACAAAAATATGATTCCCAAACCACTTCCTTACGCGGTATGGGGGAGAATTTGTATCACGCACATTTCATTTGCGACAGTAACTTAAATCTTAAATTCTGTTTCCATTGCAGCAGCACGTATTAAATAAACACTTTTCCGTTCTTTCTACATTTTTCAAAATTTTTCTCGGTATTTTTGTTAAATTCGTCGATCGAAGAGTAATGTTTTAACCGGTACTCGTATCTGTCGACTGCAAAAAATGTTATATAATGCTATAAATCGCGATCAGGCATATTTCTATTATTGCAGCTTCTATGGGATAATTGGGCGAGTGGTGTTAAAATAAGTTGCAAAAATACCAAAATCGTGCGGCAAGGGTAATTACTGGGGCAACTTACTTAAATTAAGGGTAATTACCCGAGAACCTAAATTGGGAATCTTTTGATGAAAGAAGAAACAATCTTAAACAATCAGTCCATCTTTATTTATAAAATTCTGGTTTATTTATAAAAATGGTCACACCGCTCCCAATCTAAACAAAACATTTCGATTTAACAATGAAAGAACAATACATATACAATCTCATAAATAGGAATATGGATTTAGAGAATGAGTTTAAACGGGCTTGCTATCGATTCACTGACCAATTAAATATTTGTATGTTTATGTATATTTCTCTTTATGTATATTTCCCTTGTAAATTTACACTTCCCTCATGGAAATTAGCCCCCACCGGGTTGTTGAGGCTAGCGTAACTAAATAAATTGTTATTACAATATGTATGTTTTCAGTATTATGCGAACTTTCCCCCAACTCAACTCTTTGTTCAAGGATGTTAGGATAACCTTTTATGCTATATTTTCCCGTTTATACCATTTCAATTCAGAATAATTCATCTTTTTCAATCTTTTTTTAATTTATACAGCTCCTATGGAGAGACTTCTTACTCCACCGAATAGTCTGGGGACGAAAGCCACGAAAGTTATGTTTTTCAATGATATTCAGCCTACTCAAAACAAGTCTAAAAGCGTTGGCTTTGGTGAGATTCGTAAAGTTATAGCGGTTCTCTTTTGTCTAATCTTTCTTCTACCATTATTTTTTGCTATGGCATTATAAAAAGTGGGTGTGTAGAATTGAAGCACTGGGAGAATCATTCGCATGTTTTCCATCAAGCAAGAAAAAATTCAAAAGTACTCCAAAATCTTCTCATGAGCCACATGGTCATCTAGTTTGACCATATCATGTCAGATGTTAATCTGTCATAGATGGTACTGTCATACACTGTATGTGTGCGAAAAATATAAAAACCTTGTAGCATATTAACCTTTTGAATCAAAGGCGACCCTATTTCTATATAACAGGCATTGGATGTTAAAAACTAAATATATCTTGTAAAAAAATTGCAAGAATGGGTTTAACAGCAACCAGCTGATCTAAAATACTCTAAAAACCAGATCCTTAACAAAACTTGGCTATAATTTCCTTCATTTGATATGGCTTCGGCAAGTAATTGAATTTATTATTAAGTGGACATACGTTTGTTTTTCACTCAGTTGTAAATTGGAATTCAATAAGATTCTTCCCTCTATATCATTATCTCATTTATACGCGGAAGAACGGGGACAACTGACACTAGGCGCATGATAATAATGACGTAATGATCTCAGATCAACTGCAAGGCCTTACAGTAACGTATTACTTTAGCCATGCAACATTTGTGGTTATGTTTATAATTTGATGTAATGAAAATATCGACTGTTCAAAATCATTTTTCATGTAAATTATTGTAATGTTTGTTGTGGTTTCTTTTTTTGTTGTTTTATCAACTTCCCACATAAATGTTGTCATATTAGGCTATTTGCCTTGAACAGAGAAGAGTGAAGCGCTGTTTTTTCTGTACTTCACATAACTGTAAATTTTGGTCCCCGATATCACATCATGATGCATAAACTTAAATGAAAGTGAGTCATTTAAAAGTACTCTATCACGATACCACCAATCAGTTTTCGGGTAAACATTGTTAATATACTTGCATGTGTTCGTTTTTTGAGCATACATTCTCACGGTTTACAAAGAATCTGTTTTCCAGGTATAAATAACTCTAACTCAGTGGGAGAGCCGGATGTTCATTATAGAAAATTAATAAAAAATATGCAATGTCTTTCTCAATGCATTAATTGGATTTTTTGACAATGAGAGATTGCATTCTCCTTAAAATGAACTGAAGTTTTCAAAAATATATATCAGTGTTTGTGACATTTAAACCAAAATGAAGGATTTTTTTCCACTTTCATTGTCATCGTTAGTATGCCTGGAGTGATTTCTGTCAAGATGGATTGATATCTTTTAACGTATAATATGAGAGATTCCCCGAATTTATTCTTGGCATAAAACGTACTGATAAAGTTATATACCCAACTAAAATTTCGTGACTGAGTATAACAATGAGAAATATGATGATTGATGAAACACTTAGTGTCCAACCTAGAAAGATTGCATCACGCAATTATAGATCGATATCATACTAGCTACATTTTCGTTCGACTCTATAATAAATCTCCAAGACCAGCAGGTTTATATGAAGATAAAAATACTCATGTGATGATTTTTGTCATACGATTTGACAGCGCCAGTTTGTTTTAGAATTTGCAATTCATCCAATGCTTATGACTACCGAGTCAAATACGCTGTACGTATACTGTATGTGACTGTGATATACCATTTCATTCCCTTTGCTAAGTTATTAATTGTGCACATAAAACAACCAAACCAAACAATCGAAGAAGAAATATCCTCAAATAAAAACGGAGAGCCATTCCATAAGCTAAAATATATAGATAACTGGTGGCTTCGATCAAATTATAAATACCAAAATTATGCGGTTTTTTTTTTGTCTTTGGAATGTTATTGAGACATCAAGCAGTGCATTTAAATTTTCATTTAAAAACACGTCGTATAATTACAATTGATCTACAGGAATATATAAATTATGTTAACCACGTTACCACATAAATTCTAAAAACGTATTTACAGAAGCTATAGGTTGTGGTTCGACGAAGCTGATTCACTTATTGCTTTAATATCATGTAAGTACCACCGATATAATAATTATCATGCTTGACACCGCGTAACGTTAGCCCTTTGAACAATATCTTTGCGTTATTTTGAATTACAAAGGCAGCAATATTAATAAGGATAAAAAAATGCATCACTGAAGCGAAACTATTTCATTTGATACTATATATAGTGGTAAACTGATAAAATTACTTAATTCTATCTCCTACAAAAATGTGCTAAGATAGTAAATTGTAAATACAGGCGTAATGGGTGGCAATTGAATCAGACAATTTTGTTCGCACAAGATTATTTTATGCACTAAGAACTTTCTGATCGACTATATATTTGTCTGACATTTTTCTATCATCAAAATACAAAGACGACGTTATGATGATAACAACGGCTTGATATAGAAATTTTGGTCATGACTGAGCCATATGAAAAGACTGCATGGAAAGATATTTCACTACAACGATCACAATAAGTTAGGGACGATGACGGTTTTTCGACGATTAATTAATAACAATAAGTTTGTCTCAAAAATTTCTGGAATGTATTTATGTCTTAAAGTTATGCAAATACGCGACCATTGCAAATCAACGGTATGACCATTTTCGATAATACGAGGTCCTTTTAATAGTTTTTTGGGTCTGTTTATTTTCCTTTACGAAGAAAAATTTGGTTATAGGTATAACATGAAATAAAATTAGTGACAGAAACTATTAGTAATTTCGATTGGTATATGTAAGTATATGACATTGTTAATGTCTATATGCATTCACAAGCAAGGCAACACAGACAAAGTGTAGACTGGATATCAACATGATGAAATTAACTCCGAATTGTATTTTAGCTTATGTTTAGAAATGAAAACGGTTGTTGTTGTACAGTGCGAGCAGTTAACAATGATATTAGTTTAGTTAGAGATTTTCGTCTTGCGAGCTCTATATATAGCTAAGAACGAAATCCATGAATTTTTGAGGAGTTATATTTTTGCATTTTAGTGTATTAGGGTTTACTACGTTACTAGGGTTTACCAGGTTAGAAGGTTTTTTAAATCAGTAGAGCCAGCTTGCTAAATAACGTGGTTTCATAACGGTTAAGTAGGCTAGAAGGTTTATTAAGTTATGTCGTAGCTTGCTAAAGTAATGTAGCCATATATATAGGGTTTACTAAATTACTTTTGGGTTACTAGATAACCAGGGTTAGTATTTCACGAAATTCCATAGGCCAACTATACTGCTGAAGATAGCTGCAGTTTACTGTGTTACATCGGTTTACTGGATTATTGATTGGGTTACTAGTGTCTACAGGTAAAGACATAAATACATATTACAATAAGGTTTATTAAACTATATAGCCAGGTATACTAGGGTTTACAAGACAGGTTACGTGGCTGTCTTAGGTTACTGGGTTGACCAGACCACTGAATTTTACAGAAATATTCGACAAAAACAGTGTAGATACATTTAAATTTAGTAAAAGGAGAACATAACTAGAACGTTGCATCTGTTCGGAACATACGCTTACTACACATGCTGTATTTATAAATTTATTTGTAAACGGAGAACATAACAAGAAAGTTGGATGTTCATAACAAGCGCCTATACTATAATATTATATACCTCTGTATTGTAGGTAGGAGTTTATATATTTCTGTATACAAGTGCACGACTCCGCGCGTAGCGGCAATTTGAATCAGGCCTTGTTACTGGAGGAAAATTCGAAAAACTGAGCCCAAAATATCATTCCACCTGCAGAGCACCAATATTGGTTTCCCAGGGGGGGGGGGGTAAAGAAGCTTAATTTGCCATCGACAAAAAAATAAGCCCATGCATAAATTCTGAAACTCACCATTTTAATTAATATTGGCTCTGCAGGAGAGAAGAACCGAACATACGACAACGCAATTCCGTATTTGGAACTTGGTTACGTCTAAAATGTAAGTAAAGTTTGTACGAATTTAGGCTATTTAGCGTACATTCGTATACGTATATTCTCGACTCATGTCTGAAAACCTTGCTCAAATTTTAGGGTGAGCCTTGCCAACAGAGAAATTATAATTACTATATTAATTCTCCTCTTATTGGCCGCAGCCATCAAAATCTTCGTTCCAGACAAAGGTGAAGTTCTTTCCAATGTATATTGATATTCGGAGGTGCTGCTATTTTAAATTATGAATTTAAATTTATACAGCTGTAGAATTAAAAACGGTGAAATTTATAAAATCAGCGTTTCTTTTTGCGTTTGCCAAAATCGAAATACGTTGCTGCCATGGAGATCTATGGTCCAGTTAAAAAAATAGGCGACAATGCTTTCATTTTAACTTTCCTTTTAAGAACACGGTTTTTTAAGCGTAGGCCCTGTAGACGCGTATACTTTAAACACTGAAATCCACAGGATTAATTTTCATCTGACATTTATTCAAAGTTGTAAGGATTAGCTTTGCCAAATTTAGTACAAATTTATAAATATGCTTCTCGAAATATACCTAAAATTAATTATGAATTTTACAAGATCTGTTGATGCCTTCAAACGAGAAGACACGTAATTTTCCTGTAGTAGACTCAGATCATCGGGAAGTGCATGTGCCTAGCTCGCTCTGTGAGCTCGATAACAATTCAGTTATGTTTTTGCTTACTTTCTAAGGCAATGAGGGACAAGAGGGAGTATTATCCACGCGTGATAAGGTTGGCATTGGTTTAACATTCCTCGCTGTGTTCAGCCTAATCGTCAATTTCTGTTGTTGTAAACCGCAAAGACGTTAAAAGCAATAATGATACAAAAGTTATTATCATATCAACAATGGTAATGAACTTTTAAATTTTGAATTGTAAATGTAGACATGGATCACGTAATCCTTGCATACCGGGCCATACCGTAAGGCGGGACGATTTCTCTAAATCATAACAACTTTCGGTTTAGCGTGTATATACGTATACTGACGACAAATACGAAGAATTTGTGGAATCTTAATTGAAAAACTGTGCAAATATATGCTCTAATATGTTCGTAAAACCCGTTCTGAATGAAACGCACTTTTTATTTCTCGGGCGAAAAACTTGCATTCATGCCACGTCAACTACTTTTTGGTTGCTTAATTCCAGTATCATTTTCATAACCCAGTGTGTTGAAATAATGAAATTCTCAGAATTATTTTTTGCATTGCGCGAACAATTTATAAAATTATTGGGCCTCATCCAGTGTCTTTTCCGGGCAAATTAAATTACATGCTTTATTTTACTTTACCACATCTTCACGCGAATATTTCAAGGCTCACTCTCAGCAGTGGAAGTACATATATTGTATTTTTAAATTATTTTATATAGTAAGAAGAAGTTACAGGAAAACGACAAAATGTAATTATTAGATCAATAATAAAATTCTCTCTACGTGCTATTTAAGTCTTAAGATGTTGCTTAGCAACAAAGACAGCTCAGTTCTTGTTAGCAAGCAACTTCACAGCACGAAATTCAGCTCCATTTCCGAAATTATTGCAAATCGTTCTTTGCCGGCATTAGCCCTTTGATTTTCACAACTAGACTATTGCATTTTAGTGCAGTTTCAAGTTTTTAACCTATTTTGTGAAATTCTAGACTTTAATGACTATTCCAAAAGAGGCGGAAAATTTTGAAAGCTGCAAACGTCCATTATGGCCTACAATGAAATTGTTCGTTATATCACATTTAAATTACTAGAAATACATTGAATGAAAAGTCTCCTCGCCTGAAGCAATAAACTTTAAACAATAAACAATATTTTAAGCTATAAACAATATTTCCAACACTGAAATTCTATAATACTCGTTTCTGTGAATGATCGAAGTCGTAAAGTAAAATCCTATATCTTGGTACAATTATAAAGTCGACTCTCGAGCTATCAAATTCGACTATAATCCCCGAGCCGGCGCGAAGCGCCGTGCGAGGGTACTAATTCCGCTGGGAGATTTATTACACCCGGCTATTGTGACAGAACATAGCGGAATCCAAAGTTGCTCAAATTCTATGTCGTGGACCGTGGACCGTGGACGTTCAATGGTCATGGTACTTGTGCGCATGCGTGAAATGCGAACGAGTGTAGACTGGTAATCAACGAACGTTCTGATTAACTAAGACAAAAAGTTTGTAATTCAATGAAAACGTCAGCAATTTAACTGTCATTTCGTAAACATTTTTGTAAAAGCGCTTCATAAACTTTGTGCAAAGAAAGTAAAACGAGAAGAAACAAGATATATGAAGCATGACAGATAGCAAAGATGAACGTGGATACAGTCAAAACAAAGCCGTGTAAGAGGAATAATTCATAATCTGCAAGCTTATAGATGTTTTCAAAGACAAAGGGTACGTGTTTACTTGGTTTATCTCGTACTTGTTTCGCGGTAAGAATGAGCCGTATTTGTATACTTTTCAGCTTTGTATGCCGTTCATTTGTTAAATTTTCAGCTCTTTCTGCAAACGCATAAACCTGTGAAGGGCTATTACACCTTTGCTTTAACTTCAAAAAGTGTTTTTGAAAGTGTGATTTAAATTTTGGTATCAAAAATACACACTATATTTATAAAGTATACTGAAACTTTTAGCCGCCGGCGTTGACTGCAATTACAGAATAAAATAACATTTGAAGTTTTTTCTTTGTCTGTGAAGATTTTGTATTGTTTTAATCGTTTGAAACTTCGATTTTAAACCGTTACTTAATTGCTGGCATGGTATAATGCAGCAAAATTGAACGGGCAATGTTTACATTAGCTTTGTGATTATTTTTGTATTGAATGATGGAAACTTTAAGACTGATTTGAGTTTTGTGTCATTTCATAATATAAGTTTAGGTCAGGTTAACTCAGGAAATTGTGTACTTGGTTTGAAATAGCGAGGGGTTGCTGCATGCATGTATTTCTAGTATAATCATAATTGTGCTATGGATAGTTTTAAATACTACAATTCTTAGCGAAATTTCAATTACTTTTAAACAAATTCACCTTCAAAAATAAATACTTTCCAAATCCAAATCATTTCAACGAAATTGACGAATAAATTCAAAGAGGGATCATATATTTGTTGATAAATCCACATATTAAAAACACTTTAAAAATCTTCAAAATCCTAGATTTTTACCATCCATTGGAATGAATTACATAAATTATAATGAAAAAGAGACTAGGGGGGGGGGGGAAGGCTTTGATCTTGCTTGAAAATCGAGGAAATTCATCCACGAAGGAGTTCAATTTAAATAGTTAAAATATAGGTGTAATGAACTTTTATTTGAGAACATGACTCATATAAAAGATAGCGATTGTTTCTATATTCAGTCATGATGACTGAATATAGAAACAATCGCTATCTTTTATATGCATCAATTTATTTACGCGGCATAGATATAGAGGAGCGAGGTTTAGATTCCATCCTAGGCTATGGCCTGACACACAGATAATATTCACCCTAGCTCTGATTTCACGTTTTGACGATTAAAAGATGAGTAAAGGTAAAATTTGTCGACTTGCTGACGAGTGAATTGACGTATTTCTTCGGCCCAATGCATCTTCTCCACAGCATCACCCTGAAATAAGGACAGGCATGCTAAATGGAATTATAGTAAAATACGCTTCTATAGCTTCTAATTAATGCATCTCTTTATTCAATACCATTCAATATTACATGATTACGACAGCTGGATTCTAATTCTATTATCTCTACTCGGTATCCGCCATTCGGAAGCGATCCGCAACTGCGATCGTATTTTCTCCCCTAGCGGTCTTCTTCGGTTTCTATCGGTCGACCACAACCAAACCGCAAGCTAACAGGGGCCGAACGGCAACCGCGGTGTTCGGTTATTTCTGGTCCAATTGACCTAGCTCCTCGGTGATCATCAATGTATTGAATGATTTACTTACCGCACTAAACATTTGTGTGCGCCGAAGCCTGAACTATCCAATACAACTGTGGATTCCTTACGATTAAACAACTGCGACTGCAACTCCAAATGCAACAGCAAACTGCAACTGCGAATGCAAATGCTCTGCCACATTATTTTGTTACAAGTGGTGATTAAGACTTTTTTTTGAGACTGCATAATCAGTGAGAGATCCAGGGTAAGTCTGAATCAATTACTACAGCATTAACTTGCAATCATATTGGTAGATTTTTATGTAAAAATATTCTTTAGATGTGAATAACCAACTAAGGTAAAGTCTTTCTATATAGGGGATTTGTGACCGCTTGATTGAAACAGCAACTCGGAAAGGTTAATTGTTAATTACCCTACGATTATTTTTCGTCGTCGCAAGTGTGTTTTCGCGCGAAATATACTAATATTTGAAAAGTGCATGTTATCGTATTTATCTACGTATCTATCAAAAGTATCAATATATGAGCCATGGCTGAAGGATGTTTGAATTTACGCTCCGATGTTGACAACATTTTAGAAGAGCTATCTATTGTAGTTGATGAAACTAATGAAGAGAAAAGTAAAGGCAAATCGCTACTTAAGGCCGTTTTCCACTTCAACCATATCGTAGCGAAACGTAGCGTATCTCATTGTTTTAAAGTCATCAGTTTTGCTCGAATACTTCGGAAACAAAGAAATACGCTACGTTACGTTACGATACAGTTAAAGTGAAAAACAGGCCTCATATTGTAATAAGAGATAACGGTAAAATTAAATGAATGGTTCCTTCGAAAAGCTTAAAGAGCTCATGGCTGAAATAACAGGTCAGAATACCTGGTGTTCAAGCGGTGGTCACTGTAAAATGCTAGTTTTAAAGGAAGCAGAGGTGAGATGGTATGCAAAGAATAAATCACTGACTATTAATGGAAACAAGACGCCTGTTCTGGCGTTAACTCCGGCGCACGTGCCAGTCTTCAATATAGAGCTTCTGAACATAAACAATACAGTTCATATTCGCATTTAGATGCCTTGCGAACCTAAATGTTCGATCGCTAAATTCAGAAGCACATCGTACTTTAAAAAGTATAGAAGTTAAATCGTTCAAGAATGTAAATAAACGGTATGATACATTTGCTTTGTCTTACACTTTGCCTTTGGAATTCGCGCTTATATAGTTATATTAAATCTTCAATCCTGTGCAAACTACGACGAGTCAAAACGCCCATACACGACCACATCATCTTGTTAAACGGCGAAATAGCAGCGATATTACTAAAATAGGACCAGAATCTACACGTATTAAATATATTCTTACCCCAATTCAGTTTAAACTTAATCGAAAAGCATGAAAAGAACGGTTTATTTGTTCCTCTTGGAGGAATTGCCGTATCATGCGAGCGAAATCGAATTGCGCATCGGAAAATTAGCCAAAGCTGTGCACCACAACTCTTGGGAGACAAGACTGGGACATAGATAAATCCAATCACATACACATTTTAAATACTAGAATGTTTCGCGCCATTACAGACTTGTGACGACAAAAAACAATTAAAAATAAAAATAAAAAAAAAACAAAAAAAAACAACAAAACCGAGGCGAATTTTCAACTCCGTCGCTGACGCCGGAGTAACAAGAAAGAAGAAATTACATCAAAACTCCGTGTCCTATCTAATCTAGTAGACTCAGGATGTATTGAGTCAAAGAAATATATCACTGCATTTTCCAACTGCTGAATTTGAAGCAGCTGATGAGGACAGTGAAGAATATTTGGATGAACAATAATTTCAGGTTATGTTGAAAAAAAACAAACTCACACCTTAATTATGCAATTTGTTTTTTTTGCAAATTAATTTCTTAGTGAAACTTTATTGTGGGGATGATTATTGGAAGAATGGATAGTTCTTTTTATCAACATATACATGTAAAACTTTAAACTGAAAATGTTTAAATTTGATCATACCTATTTCTCAAGATTAATATACAATTGACAAGTAAAATCATCTGGTGGGTAAATGCTGAAGTAGGGTTTATTATAAGAAACATAGGTATATCTGTAGATTTGTTAATCATTTTACCCTGGAAGCTACTTACGAATAAATTGTCTAGTGATAGGGTAAATACATAAAGTATGGTGCATTGCCACTTTTTAAGTCAAAATGTGAGGAAAAACTATCCATTGCACAATGCTATCCAATCATCCAGACTCATAATACTTTGTAAATATTAACATTTTTGTAAGTTGTAAATATACATTATATATTAATATAGCAATAATAAGGCAAACTATTTATCATTTTATAAATACTGGTATTTGCATAGTGGAATTTTAATACAAAGAAAATATTTACATAATTATTTCTTACAAAAAATACATTCACATTGCAATTGACAATAACTACAGCAATAATTTTTGGGAATAATTGGTTTCAAATACTTATCTTCAGTATCAATTGATACCAATAAAAATCTTCTGAGACATTGATCATTCAATTTGCAAAATGTTCTGATGTCATCTTGCATTCCACTTTTATTTCTCCTAATATCTCGATTGGAATAATACAGGAAGACAGAAGCTGGTTTCCCATCTCGTCCTGCACGGCCAGTTTCTTGAAAATAGGCCTGAATGGTATAAGGAGGAGTAACATGAATGACATGTCTTACACTCTTTATATCAACACCCATTCCCAAAGCAACAGTGGCAAAAATGATTCGTGTGACACTCTGCTCAGAGCATAGCTGCTTCAGTATTTCATCCTTCATAGCTTTTGTTTGCAGGGAATGGAATTGACCAAATAATCTATTCTGTGGGATTGCATAGACCCTTCAGGATAATATTGGCCTTGTCCCAATGTGGATTCAAAAAGTGTATAGGCAAACCCACACCACTTCAATGGCATATACACTATTATCAAAGGAAAGTTGATCTTCTCTTCAAGTAAGTTATTTGCCATTGGTGTAAGTATTTTGATAAGAAAGTCAATGTCTTTGCCAGATCGTTCTTCTTTGTAATATGTAATGTTTCGGCGATCAGGATTACCAACAATCTCGACACACTTTTTCAAGCCCAATGAACTCTTGATCGCCTCCCTGTCATTTTTGTTTGCAGTGGCTGTCATTGCAATAACAGGTGAACTTGAAAATATGGCTGAAACAACAGCCAACTTCCCATAGTCAACTCGAAAGTCTTTCCCCCTATTTCAAAAAGAAGTATGATAATAAATAGATAATATTTGTGTTATATTATGTTCTAACATTTGCTAAGGTAATTATAAGATTGATTTATGCACTTACCATTCTAAAATACAATGAGCTTCGTCAATTACAACAGCACAAACATTTTCTTGATAAGTTTTCGACTGCATTAATTTTCGGCCATATTTACTCGATACCAGAACTTCAGGATGAGCAAACACGATATTATATTGTCCCTTTTCCAATTTTTTCCGGTCACTGAACAGAAGATCGCAAACAGCATCGATATCAGTATTTTTGTCTTCGTCCTCCGATAGATCTTCGCTCGAAGCTCCAGAATCACCGCCGAGAGCATTGACTGCCACCGAACTCTTTAAATCAAGCACAGCCGCTTCAATCCCGTGTAACTTCAAACGATTGACTTGATTTGTAATAAGGGCGTTTAAAGACGATACAACTATTACAACAGAGGTAATATTGACATCATGATCAACATGTTCAACACCGTATTTTTCACCAAACAACAGTGCGGGCGTTAGCATTACCAGAAATTTGCGACATGATAATTTGCATTTATACTAATTTGCATGTAACTTTCAGCATAATGGCCTTCAACTTTTACTACAAAATACATGGAGTAAATATACAAAACTTAAAAATACCGTTGCCTTAGACCTTGCCTACTGTTTGCCGACCTCTAGATCGGTAGAGCAACTGTTTAGAAACGTTTTGGTGACCAAATTTTTTAGCTTGGGCATTTCTGCAATCTGCCAAATTTAAAAATATATTGCTCAAAGTTTCATCCGTGTTCTGTCAACGAACTTATAAAATCGTTCACATTGATTCGAATATCTCGATTCAGGTAGTTGATAAATTGACGTGTAATATACCAAAAAAAATTGTTAAAGATATTGTCTTTCGTATTTGCGTATAAACTTTTCTGTACGGCTCGAATTGTCACTGCAATCACTTTAAAAAATATTATCAGTCTTATCAGGAACTTGAACATTACGAAGGCTATATACACATTTGTTCACAATCAGTTGGCCGAACGTAGAAATACCTAAGGTAAGTAATTCGATCATTAAAACGTTGGGAAACGGCTGTTCTATTGACCCAGAGGTCGGCAAACAGTAGGCACGGTCTAGGACAACGGCATTTTTAGGTTTTGTATATTTACTATATGTATTTTATAGTAAAAGTTGAAGGCCATTATGCTGAAAGTTAAATGCAAATTGTCTGACGATTTGTCCTGGTCCTGTGCTATTGCTCGTTTAACCGTGAAAACAGTGAATCTCTAAAGACATGAATAGTTATAATAACTCGAAATTTATATAAATACGGAGTGGAACAAAATCGTCTCTCGGGTGTATACGCCAATAATTCCTCTATATATATATATTAGACAAAATGTTCGACAAGAAAATTAATCTGCGCTCTACTGTCTATAGCTGAAAAGAGGTCCACAAACAGTAAACTGCATGCATGTGGATGTTTAAGTTTATGTACTCTCGTGAGCAAGAGTTACTACAGTAAGTTTTCTTTCGAAATGATGAAAGAAATGATTTCATTAACAACTGGAATAAGTGTAACTAGACTTGGAATTTTCAATTCAACAAAGTTAACATTTGAAAATTATTTTCCATAATAATCCGCATGAAATATTAATAAAACAGACATAAGAATAAAATAGATTTTTGTCAGATAGACGAATTAAAAGCTATCTCAGACAGCCTATCTGATATAATTTTTATTATGATTTTCTGGCCATATTTTCAATAGTTAAACAAAGCACGAAAAGCCTCTAAAGACAACATGGACATTCTATTTCCTGAACACCCAAAGGACGTGGACAGTTCCCCAAGGAGAAGATTACCATCCATTCACGAACATAATAGTAAAGAAGAAAAACAGGAAGAAGGCAATACATAATCCGGGATGAATTAAATATCCGAATCAAGTTGGCTGTCTAAGTTGTCGGAAAAACTTGACGACGTCGTTTTAGTGAAAAACGAACCAAAAAGTTTATATACAACAAGATTTTGCACTTTATTGTCGCAATATTTCTATATTTTAAAGCGTGTTTCTTGTTTACAAAATTAGCGTGTTCTCCAATGTACGTCACTTCCGGTGAAAAAAGGGCAACTAAAACTCACTCACAGCACCTCACGTTCAAACACGAAAAAAGCCAACTTTGAGGCTCGAAATGTACATGAAGATGAAATTTTTGTCTTATCAAATATATTGCAAATGTTCTTAAAATGGTCTGATCTATCTAAGTAGGTTATTTCCTTGAGGTTGATATTAGCACTTTAATCTTTTTAATTACAATGCAATACTGAAAAAAAAAGCAGTAATTTAGATGAATAATTTTTTGTTTATCATGCAAGTCATAATCTTAGATCTCCTGAGCGTTTAACGATTTTCACAAGATCGAAACTGGATCACGCAGTTCTTGGTCCACTATAGTACGATCCCACTTCTATGTATAAAGGCGCTACATTTTGCTCCCAGAAATCAGTTTATGTGCTTCTGAAAACTGAAATTTTGCGTCGCGTTACCGCATCGCGTTCGGTTTGTTTCGATATTTACGCTACTTGCAACACATGCTCCTCCTCCAACCCACTTGATCTTGTGCCTAAAATATCAATTACCTGTCTGTTGTAAATTACACTAAGCGGTCGCATCCACGTCATGGATTAGACTGACGCAATTTAAACTCGCTATATTGTGAATGACTGTGACCGCCCAACTTCGAATAATCTTGTCAAAAAAGTATTTTTCCGCGTTGACGAATGTCCTTATAGCAACCGAAAAATGTAGAGCTAGTTAATTATCGGGAACGCACAGTGAGCAAGCATCGAAGAAGTCAACATTTTAATGTTCCTAAAAATCGGCTGGTCACTAGCTTTAAGATCGATGCATCGCCATCTTATTTAGGCATCGATTTCCCGAATAACTTCAAAGACTTAGCTACAAATTTACATTAGCGATAATTGGGGGGAGGGTTACATATTCATATATTCTTTTTATATAAGAAATTAATAATATTGCGCAACATGAATATTATAATTATATGAATATTGGCCATCTATTGCATGGTCTATCGCAGAGCTTATTCCTGTTCGCGGCGCAGACAAATTAAGTCAAGATATATAAGCAAACGAGTTGAAGGTAGGTCACTACATGTATAATAATAATACATTATTTTTCTTTATATCGTACTGAGCACTAATGTATGCTTAAAAGTCCGACGGGATCTATCCACGAGAAAACTGCAAATATAGAAAAGTAAAGTTAGAAAATCGACGAGATCGCATAATTATGTGTTGAATTAATGAGGGATAATTATATGACGAATGTGGACGATGAATTGCAAAAGGAAATTGCAAGAAAGACTGAGGATGTTAGATCGAGGGAAACTAGATAAAACAGTCAATGTTCTATGCCAATGTTAAAATGTTCTATAATTATATAGCAACATTCCCTATTTAAATCGCCATGTAGAGACAATGGACTAAGATATTTTCATTCCGCAATTACAGAGCTTGCTTATTCCTGTTCGCGACGCATACCGGCAAAGTCAAGATATAAGCAAACGAGATGAAGGTAGGTCAATATGTAATAATTTGCCCTGTAGCTTTACACAAATGTTAGCAAGAAACTGCGTCGAAACATTGGCCATCAGCGTTTTCAGACCCGACTGAAATATAGCTAATTTGTAAAAATCTGACATTTGGATTTTCAGCCGTTTTGCGAATGAAAGAAGCTGCATGCCTTCTTTCTTCATGTACACTACCCTCTTTTAGTCTTCATTATACTCGGCACGGTCAGCAATCGGTTTGTCTTGGTAAGGTTGATATAAACCGTCATGTGTAGGCGTACTGTCAATAGACGCAACACTATCGCATCGTCTTCGACTTCCAATATTGGCAATACATGATCCGGGATGAATTAAATATCCGAATCAAGTTGGCTGTCTAAGTTGTCGGAAGAGTTGACGACGTCGTTTAAGCGAAAAACGAATTAAAAAGTTTATATACAACAAGATTTTTCACTTTATTAATTGTCGCAATATTTCTATATTTTAAAGCGTGTTTCTTGTTTACAAAATTAGCGTGTTCTCCAATGTACGTCACTTCCGGTGAAAAAAGGGCAACTAAAACTCACTCACAGCACCTCACGTTCAAACACGAAAAAAGCCAACTTTGAGGCTCGAAATGTACATGAAGATGAAATTTTTGTCTTATCAAATATATTGCAAATGTTCTTAAAATGGTCTGATCTATCTAAGTAGGTTATTTCTCTGAGGTTGATATTGGCACTTTAATCTTTTCAATTACAATGCAATACTGAGAAAAAAGCAATAATTTAGATGAATAATTTTTTGTTCATCATGCAAGTCATAATCTTAGATCTCCTGAGCGTTTAACGATTTTCACAAGATCGAAACTGGATCACGCAGTTCTTGGTCCACTATAGTACGATCCCACTTCTATGTATAAAGGCGCTACATTTTGCTCCCAGAAATCAGTTTATGTGCTTCTGAAAACTGAAATTTTGCGTCGCGTTACCGCATCGCGTTCGGTTTGTTTCGATATTTACGCTACTTGCAACACATGCTCCTCCTCCAACCCACTTGATCTTGTGCCTAAAATATCAATTACCTGTCTGTTGTAAATTACACTAAGCGGTCGCATCCACGTCATGGATTAGACTGACGCAATTTAAACTCGCTATATTGTGAATGACTGTGACCGCCCAACTTCGAAATATCTCGTCAAAAAAGTATTTTTCCGCCTTAACGAATGTCCTTATAGCAACCGAAAAATGTAGAGCTAGTTAATTATCAGGAACGCGCAGTGAGCAAGCATCGAAGAAGTCAACATTTTAATGTTGGCTGGTCACTATAACTTTAAGATCGATGCATCGCCATCTTATTTAGGCATTGATTTCCCGAATAACCTCAAAGACTTAGCTACAAATTTACATTGGCGATAATTGGGGGGAAGGGGCACATATTTATATATTCTTGTTAAATAAGAAATTAATAATATTGCACAACATGAATATAATAATTATATGAATATTGGCCATCTATTGCTTGGTCTATCGCAGAGCTTATTCCTGTTCGCAGCGCAGACAAATTAAGTCAAAATTGAAGGTAGGTCACTACATGTAATAATACATTATTTTTCTATATATCGTACTTAGCACTAATGTATGTTTAAAGGTCCTGCATGAACTTGATATTGACACACTATAAGTATTATAAAACATGCATGTACAACTATGATTATTTTCCATAGTGGATTTAGTTATCTCCGCGCTGTTGAGTTTTTAACACAATTGTCAGCAAGAAACTGCGTCGAAAAATTGGCCATCTGAGTTTTCAGACATCACATAATTTATAGTTAATTTGTATATAATATTACTCAATAATTACGTTACATGTGATATGCCAGAGTGTTAAAATAATTAAAGCAGTATGTGAACTGTTATGCATAAAAAAATGTCCGACAGGTAAGTGTGACACTGTCAT